TTGGACTGTGATTTGTGCTTGACATCAGCTGGCATTGCCACAATGGCACTGTGTTTGCTGGGCACTCTGAATGCACTGGTTCTGCTGGGCTTGCAAAAATGCCTCCCCACCTTCAGTTTCTACTGCAGAGATTCCCTGGTTTGACTTTAGTCCTTTGGAAACAATGTAGGATGGGAGCACCATAATATCTTAATATTATGTCTCTCAATATGTCTCTTAATATCCAGTCTGATGCAGCTTGTGATCACTATTTTGTGATGCCTAGTAAAAGTTAGTACGAAGGCAGACTCCAACTCTCAAAAATGCCTTGTAGATGTTCGGGATGGTCAGCTCTTGGGCTTCAAAATGGAGAACAGAAGCCCTCCCAAGTGCCTGCTCAGAACACAAGGTCAGGCTATCCAGGTCAGGGCTAGGCTGAAAATAATGTGACTGGCCCAAGGTCACCCAGCCAGCTTCCATGTCATGAATGGGGATTCAAACCTGGATTTCCGAGATCCTAGTCCAACACTTTAACCACTACACCACGCTGGATCTTGTGATGGAATTGGACGTTGGAATTTGATTTATTTTTTTTACTGGCATGATTATATATATGAAGTTAAATAAAAGAAATTTTCCACTGTCTGCATTTCTTTTCTGGCCATTGAAACAAAGTTTGGGTCCAGTGGTACCTTTAAGACCAAACTTTGTTCTGCTGCTTCAAACCAACACAGCTACCCACCTGAATCTATTTTGTTGTATAGAGGAGGGGCCCTGACCTGGATAGCCCCAGCCTAGTCAGATCTTGTCAGGTCTCAGAAGATAAGCAGGACCAATGCAGAGGCAGGCAATGGCAAACTGCCTCCAAATGTCTCTTGTCTGGAAAACTCCATGGGGTTGCCATTCGTCATCTGTGACTTGACGGCAAAAAACAAAACAGAGGAGTGGGGTGTTAAAAAATTATCTGCCCCAGGTGCCAAACAGGCTAGGTACACCACTGGTCTGGGTATATTTGCAGGTTCAATACCCACCTCCCATATGGCTTTCACCCAGAACTGTACTTCTTTGAGACATATCTAATGCCTTTTGTAATTTTTTTATCCTAGTACCTTTATATTTATATATATTATATTATATTTATATCATTGTATGCTTTTATATTTTAGTCACTAGCAAAGGTGATCATGGAAGAAAGAGGAAACCTAAATAGCTAGTGGGAAACTGGTTTTCACAGGCAAATAATATTTTGTTTAGGTCTTAAATGGTCATGTGTCTCCCTTTTGTTGCTGTGTCATCCAATACAGAAAATGAAAATGGGGATGAGAGGTCAATGTTGTACCTCGCAGAACATGTTTACTAGGTAAAGGAATCTGTAGGGAGCATGCAGGCATTTTGCTGAAAAATCAAGAGCTGACACAAAGAAAAGGTAGATATTGACAAAAGGAACTGGTCATCTGAGTCCTCTAAAAATACAATACAATAAAAACCATAACATGGAAGAACACGTGAATATTTGCACTCATAAACACATTGCTGGCCCTTGGTGGGGATTTGAGGTAATGGAGCCACTAGGGGGAAATCTTCTTGGATCCAGACTGTGTTCCAGATCTCTTTCTCAGTCACAACATCCGTAACAGTATTGTCAGTGCCTTCCAAATGAGAACATACAATGGCAATAATCTCAGTTAGGCAATCAATGGTACCGCTTACTATATAATTTATGGCAGAAAGTGACCCCTGATTTTGCAGGAGTATGACTGCAGGATTTTGTGTTAAAGGACAACCTATGCTTCATTCTCAGTAAACCTGACTTTTGCAGAAACTGTTCTTTTCCCTTGTTTCTGAAAAACAAAATTTGTGCGCTTCTTTTTGCTTGAAGAACATAAGGATGGCACAAGGCAAGTGCCTTTAATTAGTGAGGATACACCATATTTATTAGTAACCCCAAATGCCTTCATTTCATTTTGTCTATCTCTGGGATGTCCTGACCTGGATCACCCAGGCTAGCCTAGTTTTGTCACATTTCAGAAGCTAAGCATGGTTGGCCATTGACCAGGGAAGTCCAGTGTTGCTACCCAGAGGCAGACAATGAATGGCAAGCCCTCTCTGTTCACCTCTTGCCTTGAAAACCCTACATGGTTGCCATAAGTTAACTGCAACTTGATGGCACTTTCCATCACCATCTCTAGGTGCTTTTAGTTATCTTCATATACAATATTTATTAACTACCTTTGAGATTTGGGATGTCTTGCAGAGAATGCTTTATGCTTTGTGTCAGGCACTTGTTACAGTACCAAGGAATTTGGAAACTGTTAATCTGAGTTGGCTTCTGTGTGTTACCTGTGGGTTACAAGTGAAACATCAGCCAATTTTTGGTGACTTGTATATCAAAAAGAGAGCTCACGGGAGGAGATTGTATCAATATATAAACACTCAGTGAATAACGTACGAACAAAAGCAGAAAAACTATGTTTCACAAATCCACTCAAACAGTATAAATTCTTATCAAGTTCAACAAACACCCTTATATATTTTCGTAAAGAGCTAGGATCAAAAAGTACTTAATACAAAGGAAAAACTCTGAATAAAGTCCACCAATCCTATGTATGAACAGTTTCAGGAGAAAAAAAGTTCCATGTCTGTAGGAGTAGCAACTATGCACGGCTGGCTTCACTGCCGTGTTCGCTTTTCACTTCTTCAGATAGCTGGTACTCTTGGTGAAATACAAACTTAACAAATTTCCTTAAACCAGTTTTCCAAATCCAATCGCCCCACTGACATGTTTTCTTTCTGCCAAACAGGCTTCTATAATAATAGCAGTGACTTGGCTGGTCTCATCTAGGCCACTGTTTCCTCTTAAAACTGTATACTTATTTGTTTATCAAGATGGACTGTAAACTGATTCAAAGTATGCAACCATAGAGCAGATTAAGCAGCTCCATGTTCAATCAAGGTTTGTGCCTATGATGGTTGTCTCAGCCTAAACACACAGAAATCTGAACTGAGGAAAATGACATCATTCAAGCAGCAGATCATGTGTTCCACAACCATGTGAATTTGCCTCATGTATTTGCTAAAGGCAGGATAACTGGAGTACCCTCTGTCCAATCATTCATCCCTACCCCTACCCCCACATTCACATCTAAAGCTGCAATCACACACACTAAATAATCCACATTCAATCCACTTTCAATGCACTTTCGAATTGGATTTTGCCAGTTCACACAGTAAAATCCAGTTGGAAAGTGCATTGAAAGTGGATTATTTAGTGTGTCTGATCGCAGCCTATGATTGCTTTGTGCATTTCAGATGTGTTAGTTGCTGTAACTTTAACACCACTTGTTTACAAAAAGGGTGAAATGTAATTAATAAAGGGCAACATCAGCTGTCATGTGTCTGTTATAAGAAATGTATTTGGTTAGTTATCTGGAACCATAGTTGGATTATTAATCTGCAGTTTGAACCCTTCAAATGTGAATGCTGCAATATGGCAGCCTGATTTTGTATGGCCCCTGCCACACGGCAGGGAAAACACTGGGCAAAGCGCGGCTTCTAAAAGCCGCACCAAAAAAGATGCCGCAGCGGGATCCCACGATCCCCTGAGCCGCGGCGCCGTTGCTCCCCGGCACGATCAGATGCTGGGGAGGAAGAGACGAGTGGGAGGGGGAGGCTGCCGAACTGTGCATGCTCAAGCATGCGCAGTACGGCCGGGGGCCGGGGATGCGCCGGCGAAAAGACGCGCCGGGGATCCCACGGCCGGCAGTGATGCGGCCCTTCGGAAAGAACCACCTAGGTAGGTGGTTCTTTTTTGCTGCGGGTTTTGGCCAGGAGGGGCAGATTGGGGACGGGCTGGGAACGGGCGCAGCCCGATTCCCAGATGTTGCTGTGGGATCGCGCCCGTTTGCTGCGGCCCCGATCCGTCCCTCTCCCGGCCCAAACCGTCTAGTGTGAACAGGGCCTAAGAGAAGTTTTGCTAGTGGAGAACAGCTTGTGAGATCAACACAGCTTGCTTGGTGCAACTTCCACATTGACTAGAGGTTGCAGCATTGCCTTGAAGATCCATGTGTTGAAAAGGAGGCATATAAATCTTTTAAATAAACACTGGCACAGTGTTGTCACTGCCTCCTCTTTAGCACTGCCTATACTTAATAGGAGTGTGTGTTTTCAGTTATATTCCAGTGTGTGTCTTGGTAAAATTCAACTGTTTAATTGAAACCATTTCCATTAGCATGAGAAGAGGCATTTTAGAACATTTTTTGCCCAGCTCAATTTCAGTTTTTGAAACATAACCTTTGGCAACAACACATGCCCTATGGAACAGTAATTATTCACAAGAATCAATCCTGTAATTATCATTTGTGTAATTAATATAGCAAATAATGGCTTTTCTGTGTCTTAAATCTATGGTCTTTGACAAAAAAACTTGTTTAACATTCCATCTGTCTGTCTCTTGGAGACTGCGGCCAATTGTGTAGGATCTATGTGACAGTGGGTTAAACCAATTTCGATATAACAGTCTGTTTCTTTGCTGCTTTGTCTGTATGTGATCTTGAAGAAGCACTAGCTACCGAGAATTTGCATTGCTGCACACATGTGAAAAGTAATCTCTCATAATGACACAGTTTATCTTATTCTTCCTCCAAAGGACACCATGGTTTAATGGATGGGGCTTTAACTTACCCAGAGGTCAATCTTTACTGGACAAATGGAACCTTATTCCTGAAGGCATTGATATATTAATGACCCATGGACCTCCTCTTGGTAAGTGACACAAAAGCTGATGGTGTCCATCCAGATACCTTAAGGTAAGAGTAAACATTTTAGTTTGGCCATTAAGAGGCATTTTGTGTAAGTATAATCAATGATATATATTTGTAAAGGGAAAATGTGGTTACCTTTCAGTTCTATAGAGCAGAATCAGTCCTCTAAATAAAGGTAAAGGTTCCCTTGCTTGAAAGCCAGTCAAATCCGACTCTAGGGTTGCGGTGCTCATCTCCGTTTCAAAGCTGAAGAGCCAGCGCTGTCCGAAGACATTTCCGTGGTCATGTGGCCGGCATGACTAAACACCAAGGGGCACGGAACGCTGTTACCTTCCCACTGAAGTGGTACCTATTTATCTACTTGCAATTTCTTGCAATTTCTTGCTTTCGAACTGCTAGGTTGGCAGGAGCTGGAACTAGAGACGGGAGCTCACTCTGTCATGCGACACAGTCGGGTCTCAAACTGCTGAACTACCGACCTTCCACAGCCTGCAGTTCAGCGTCTTAACCACTTGAGCCACCGCAGCTCCATTAGTCCTCTAAATACTGGCCATTAAAACATGTTTCCAGCATCCAGTGTACTAAGCAAGTAGAAGAAGCAGGGGTGTAGCCTAATATGCGAATGAGTTTCTGCTGTTGGGTGTGGCCTTTTATGCTAATGAGTTCCTGTTGAGCTTTTTCTACAAAAAAAGCCCTGCATCTAATTCTGTTCCTGAACTTCAGGGAACCAGTGAAAAAATGGGCAAACAATGGGGCCAGCTATGGGAGATTGTTCTTAAAAAAATTCTCTAGTTTTTCAGAAAAATCTGAAAACTTTCTTTAAAAGGCAAGGGAGATTTAAAATTTCCTTGAGTTAAAGAAAAAAGAGATCTCACAACAGTATGTCATGAGGTCTCAGCTGCCAGTGGAGAAGGGACCAGTGGTAGTTGGCATAGAGGTAGCTGGCAGTGACTGCCATGAGATAGCACTAGCAATGGCTACTGTTACTCCTGCCAGAAGGGTGAGAAGAAACTGATTGCTGGTAACCAAGAGAGGTGGGTGTTGAACCCAATCGTAGTATTTGAACTTAGAGAGTGGACATGCAGCCTTGGAAGAGGGAGAAGGCAGCAAAAGGACGAGGAAAGGAAGCAAGGAGGAGGAGGAGATGGTGGCAGGAAGGTAAAAAAGAAAAGGAACAGCAGAAGGGGGAGAGGGAGGAATGCAGCTATGATGCCTCTGTCCACTTCCCTCCCTCAGAGGAAAGATTTTCCCTCCATTTTTCTTTCCCTTTTGTGACTGAGCTACCCTAGTTGTCGGTTTTCTTCTTTCTTGGAGAATTCTGGCTGTCCCACCCTGTCACAGTATAATATTTTGGCTGTTTGCTCAGCCCAGGAACCTGAGGGAAGGAATGGGAGCCCCCTTTTACTTATATGACTTGAATGGCACTGATAAGTTTTTATACTCCAGATTAACAAAATATTTCGTTCAACATAGAGGGGAAGGGTCAGGTGGAATCAGGGTAAAATTTCTGAAGTAAAATCAGTACATGTACAGACTTTAGTTCTTATGTTTCAGGCTACTGAGAGTTTCTTAAGCTATTCACAGTTACTTACATCTTTGTGTTGAGAGGCTTTTGTTGTCCCAGTCGGAACAAAGAGACAGACACGTAGATTAGGATAATTAAAGGGCAACTTTATTAAGTATTTACATGTTGCCCATGGCAATACTAGATAACTGAGCAAAATAGGCCTAGCCAGGGATCACCTCTGGACCCCTCCTTGCCTTAAATAGGGTGAGCCACCCTGCCCCTGTCACGAGCCATCATTGGATGGCTAGCACCTAGCCAGCATAGCAAGCAGATTGCCACCCCAGAGCTCCAGCCTCCCATGCTGCACAACTTGAGCGGAACACCTATCCAGGGGGTCCCACAGTCAGTACGCATTCCCAGCCAGGAGCCACACAACTCACAAGCTGGTCCCAATAGACCCCTTGCCCACAAACGTGGGGGTGCCAAATGGTGCTCACTGATCTGCTGAACTTTAACCAAAACTCTTTCCTGCCAAGGGACCACCTATTAAAGCAGCAGCACCATCTAGCCTCCGTTTAAAAACCTCCAAAGAAAGAGAGCCAACCATTTTCAAAAAAGCTTGTTCCACTGAGGCACCGCTCTGACTGTCAGGAAGTTCTTCCTAATGTTTAGCCTGTCTGTGTTAAACTGCTCTCAGTCACAGCTGAATTCCGAAACTGTCAGTACTCAACCCTTCTCTGTTGACACAGCACTTCTAAGCTTTTAAAAAGTGCAGTCCATCACAGCAGCAGTGGAGGGAGGAAGCAGGAAAGGCAGTGGCAGCGACAGTGACATCATGGGGGGGCTTGGAAGAAAAGAGGTGGGAGGAATAGGCAGCTGGTGGATAGGGGGAGAAAGGTGCAGTGAACAGGGAAAGGAGAATTATGGGGAGAAAGGCAGCAGTGGCAGTATGCAATTGTAAAAAGCTGTAGGAAAAAGCAGGGACCAATGGAGGAATTTCCTTATTCATTTCTCAAAGATCCCTACTAGTTCCTAAGATACCATTTAAATCAGTAGCCATTAGCTGAACACATAAAGCATACCTTTCTGAATCAATAAGATGATGCGTTTTTGCATATATTTTGCTAGGCCCCTTCAGGATATGAAGATTTAGTTTTTACTAACATCCCCAAATTAAAGTAATTTAACATAACTATTTGAACACAACTAGGATACGAATTTGGGTTTGTATCTTTACTTTTGATGGAGTTCATTGATTCTTAAGAAACAGTACCTTAAATTGCAGAGCAGAAAATAACCCCAGCATTTGTTCCCGCTCCCCCAATTGCAAGCTGTATTCACAGACTCTATGAATGTATGCCTTACTGTTCAGATAACAGTAGCCGAATTTATTCCTGTTGTAACTCCTTTGAAGTTTGTTTATTATTAACAATGATAAATGTGCCGCTTCCATTTGGTTCTGGTGCCTCTCAGGTCTTTCTACCCTTCTGAGCTTTTTGAATGCAAGAAATCAGGGCATGGACTTATGTAATAACTGATGTCCGCTTTATGGGATTTCTGCATAATCTATAGAAATAAGTGGTGCTTTCTTTAATAGAAGTTAATTAATGCTAACATGCTAAATGTCCTTTCTCTGGATTGCCTTTTTTTAAAGCTGCCAGGAGTAGGTATAAGCAGACCTCTTTGCTTTGAAACCAGAGGAATGTTATTGTCCTGAGCTAGTAGTTTCACTGAACATGTGAGGTTCAGTGTGGGCAATACACACATCTGGGCGCCCTTTTGTTGCATTTCCTGAACATTTGCTGACGTTGAAGGCCACCTCCTCCTCTCCAGATATTCAAACCAAAAAGGTCACTGTATGAAGCTCTGCAAGATGCACACAGAACACTGTATGAACAGCGACTGACCCATTCACCTACCTATTGCTCATTTCATATGCCTTACATTCATCAAGATGGAAGAGAACAGGGCAGGCCTCAGTACACATGCTGTTTCATATATGCATTAAGTAATTTACATTACTCTGTTTGGTATTTTGAATTTCTAGCACACATGAAGTGACGAGGTTGAAACTGGTTACTGTGTGGTGGCATAACCATGATAAGCAATCAAGACCACCTTGGCAGAATCCACTTGGGCGGGGGGACATGGAGGTGGCGCTACTGCCGGGAATAAATGTCACAGAACCTCAAGTAATGCAGAAGAATCTATATCTGTAGTTTAATAAATCAAATGAGAAAAAAATGTTAATTGGGAAGGAGGGGGGCAGACTTCAAAGAAAAAAAGAATCTCCAGGAACCAAGGAGAGACAAAATGACAATGAAAAGTTTCTTAAAAGCCATTGTATGCATTAATGGAAATGTTAGGATTACAGATAATGCAATAAACCTTCAGTGAATTATGGCTTCCTGAAAGTCTACGTGAAACCTTACCTGAATAGAGAAAATTAAGAGTATTGATTACATTTTGCTTTTAGGTTTTCGAGACTGGGTTCCCAAGGAGCTGCAGAGAGTTGGCTGTGTGGAACTGTTAAACACAGTACAGAGGCGAGTAAGACCTAAGCTCCATGTCTTCGGAGGAATCCATGAAGGTAAGAAATAGACTTGATACCTTCTTTAAAAAAATACTGGAATATAAAATTGCAACAGAAGACTTTCAAAGAAATGCCAAGCACAATTATAAAACTTAGTTCAAATGCAGGAAATGTTTAATCAAAAGTTTTTATTACTTGGATCCCAGTAAAAATCTCCACTGACAGAAGGATTTCCATCAGCAAAATATCCCTCCCCCATCAGCAGAAATGATAAGTGTGATCATTCAGTAATGGCCATAACATGTTAATACATACCCATCACAAAACTGACACCATATTTCAAACATTTTAAGTTCCTCTGTATGGTTTTAAAGTTGTGCTGTAAGGTTAATAGTTTTCATGGCATTTGTATTTAATACTGTAAACCACTTCGGGCTGCAAGGGAAAGGCAGTATGTAAATATCTTTAATAAAAAAATATACCGAGAGACCGGTACCAATGGGGCAAATCTGGAGACAACTATTAAAACCATAATTCAGTTCAGTACCTTTATTGGCATAAATATTAAAACCACAGAATTGTGAGGGACTCAAAGGCTTTAGCTTCCTGTCATTTACCTAGTATTCACATATCAGTCTCTACAGTCTAGACCTGAATATTCCAAAAGGGCCCCTTTCATAAATGGATATCATGTATATTAGAGTAGGAGAAATTCTCAGGGAAGGCTGAAGCGATGTTGCATGAGGAGGATCATGCACCAGTATCACTGGTCAGGTGGGGCAGAGCAGTAGAGTTGCTAGTTCTCCCACTATGGTGGGAGACATCCTGCCACAACCCATGCTTCCTAGTGTTGCTCCTTTGGGCAGTGGGAGAAAGATTTTTTAAAATGCCATAGTTGTGCATGACATGAGATTGTTTCCAAGGAAAACCCCAAAAGTGACATCATATAGCTGTAGGAATCCATAGTGTTTCTGGTGATCTCTAGAGCAGCGTGATGTCACTTCTGGGTTTTCCCTGGAAGTGACATCACATCATGTGATGACAGCACCGCCCATGTACCCCACCTCCTTTCCCATTGGGTGCCAGCCATCAGCTGACAACCCCACAGAGCCGTGACACCAGGCCCTGCAGTCACCTCCATTTGCTCTTTAGGTTGGTGAACCGATATAGTCAGCGTTCAGCAAAGGAAGGAATTGCAGGGCTTAGGTGCTCTGACTGAATGTCTGCAGAAACTCCAGTTCCCTCAAAAGCACCACCCTGATGAAATGTAAGTCCTCACTAGATAGTAACAAGATCGATTTTCTTTTCCTTTTGCTCTAACTACTGAAAGTCCAAAAAGCTTCTGTGATACGAAAATATAAAGAAGACCTTTAAACCATTTAGAGCCAGTCAAATAAAATGAAAGAACCCATTGATTGTGACTTTACTTCAGCGAGAGGCTTCATTCTGTATATGTTCCTTTTGGAAAGCCAAGGGCATTAACAGCATAACTATAAAACAGTCAGGCAGATGGTGAAATAAAACCATATTGAAAGAGAATTTTAAAAACATTCTGGATTAAGTTCCTGTACAGGGATTAGCCCACCCAGGCCAGTCCAGGGATGGGAGGGAATCCTGTACTTTTCAGTACATTAAACAACACGCCACGAGACAGTCTGTACCATCTCTGGTCTTCACAACAAATTGCCACCAGAACCTCTTTTCACTAGTCCCTGCCTTTCCTAAGGGAGAGATTCCAACCCTTAGTTAGTATCTGGGATTTAACACAGTACCAACCCTATCCAGAGATGCACACTCTTACCAAGGTAGCATATGTGGTCAGGGTTAGGCACAAGATTTAGACTTGGAATTCAGTTACAACACCAGAGACAAATTAGCAATAAGAAGGATCTTTATTCAGTACAGAGTTTAGCATAGACTACCAGAGATTACCTGAGCCTTCGGGGAGGGCGGGATATAAATCTAAAGAATAAATAAATAAATAATAACAAAGGCTAGGGCTGTTTGCCTTACCTAAACATTAATGATTCATAGTTACCACGTCAGGAGTATTCATCAGTCCAAGATAGTCCAAGTACCAAGGGATTTTGAATGGAAATCTCATTTTTGCACACCATGTGCTCCAAGTCACAAAGCAACTCTTTGTCTCTCAAGAGGCAGCATTTCAGGTGCAATAAAACAGATAATGGAGAACAGGAAGAAGAACTCACTCCCATAGGGATCAAACAATTATACCCCAATTCCAGTCACAAATTAGATGTGGCCATCAGCCAATTGCGAGTGGGCATGGGTGTGCCCAATTGTTGGTTGTCATAGCTGCGTGTGGGGATAGGCTATAAGTTTGGGACCCCGCCTGCAGTCATCTGACCCAAACTCCAGCTACTTCATTGTGTACGTGACTGGTCGCAAGTGATCCAGAAAGTGTAGCCATGAGGTCTGGCGTTTGGCATGAAAGTGTGAAAGAATGTGAGTTTATGGCATGGCTATTGAGGCCATGTGGCCTCACCATTTGGCTTGCAACAGGAAACAAGACACAGCATGTTATCAAAAGACATCACAGGAGAAGGCATGTGAATATAGAAGCAATATTCCTATACAGTACCTATTGTGTTTTTTGTTTGTTTGTTTGTTTGTTTTGGATCCTGTAAGATGTTTCAGGGAAGCTTTCCAAAACATCCAGCTCTTCTTGTTAGTTTCAGGCCAGGGAAAATTTCTAGTGCAATAAGCTTCTGTGGCAGGAAGTAAAGAGAGATTACTTAAAATACATTGTGTAAGACTTTTTTAAATATTTAATGAACTTTAGTGGCTTTTATATCCTAGTGAGATAAATACTAGCAGAGAGAGAGCAAGACTTTGTGACCCTAGGACTAAAAATTACACATTTAAATGCTTTATATTTTACCCCCTCTGGAGATTTCTGTGCTGACTCTAATTAAGCTCTCCATAGGCTCACAGGGTTGGAGAACTTCACAGAAAAGAAGATGGCTCATGAGCTTGGCATTGTTGATTTTTTCCAAAGTCCACATGACTTTAATGCAAATGAATTTTTATGCCTGGGTTATAGAGTCCTGTAAATAAGGAATTTATGATGAAAGCACTGGCGTAGTCTTAACCACGGCAATATCCACACAAGTACTCTTACGTGTCTACGAAAAGATAAGTTTTGTATAAATATTAATGCTCAGGTGTCCGTGCTAAGAAACTCCAGAAAAAAAACCCTAACAACAACATGCAAATTGCCTGCCTCTTTAGTAGTTGCTGTGTAAGTCGAAAGTAATCAAACTTCCAGTGGCATTAGTGTTAGACTGATGGAAAGGAAAGAGCTCTTAGCATGGGAGATCATTATGAAAAACTACTGTGAGGCACAGCACTATACAGTTTAAGTATACAAATGGGGTGGACGTGCATCCTGTAAATGTAAAAGGAATTTACTTAGTAGTCAAGAGCTCTGTTGTTGTTCAGTCAAGAACTCTAATACAGTTCAATTCTGCTCAGTCCCCACCAAAGACAAAGAAGTGGCTCATTAAAATAAGGGGGATAAGATTTGGCCCAAATTTTCTTAATTTTTCAATGTCAGATGTCCCAGACCAGCTAGTCATGAAACACAAGTTTAATGGGAAGTCTCATCTGCACACTGGGGTTGTATGTTTAACTCCCCACTCCAATTCAACTTCCTGGCTGCCTAATTTTTTAAATATAAAATATTTATATCCTGTTTTTCTCCCAATCAATAGAACTCCAAGCGGCTTATGCCATGAAAACCAGATAAATCTCAGTTCACAGAAATACAATTCATATCAGAAGAGAAGAAGTCGTTACCCATCACATTAACTAATCTCCACTCACAAGCCACCAGAAGTGCACTGGAAAAGCTCCACTTTGGAGAGTCGGCATACCATAGTGGATACAGTGTAAGGCTGCGATCACACACACTAAATAACCCCCTTTCAATGCACTTTCCAACTGGATTTTGGCAGTTCACACAGTAAAATAGAACGACTCCCCGTCGGCTTAAAAAGCTACCGGGGAAATCCGGTGATCGGCCAGGCACGCCACGGAAGCACAGAACGGCCCTCCCATTTGCAGCACAGCAGTATGCCATTTTTAGCAACCCACCCAATCAGAGGGGTGCATCAGCCATGGCTCTGTGCTAGTGGCGTGGTAGCGATGTGAACCGGCCCTCATGGGCCAGCTACCCAATGCAGCAGGCGTTGCGGGACCGGTGTGAATGCTGTGAAGCACACCTAACACCAGTTTCTCCACGGGATACTGCCACAGCAACCTGCCTGTCTGGACACAACCATAGAGTGGTTGTTGTGAGAGAGGAGAACATTGTTCAAAGCTACTTTGAGTTTCCATTGGGAACTATCCAAAGAAACAGTAATTTAACAGCTCCCTCTCCTGTGTCTGATATCAAGAGAAGAAACAGCTGTGGTTTAGTTCATACCTTCAAGATTCAAGAGCCAGTTTGGTGTAGTGGTTAAGTGCGCGGACTCTAATCTGGGAGAACCGGGTTTGATTCCCCACTCCTCCACTTGCACCTGCTGATGTGACCTTGGGTCAGTCACAAGCTCTGCGGCAGCTGTCCTTGAGAAAGAGCAGTTTCTGTCAAGAGTTCTCTCAGCCCCACCCACCTCACAGGGTGTCTGTTGTGGGGAGGGGAAGGGAAAGGAGTTTGTAAGCCAAGAGAAGAAACAGCTGTGGTCTAGTTCATACCTTCAAGATTCTTATGTGCACCTGCTATTTCTAAGCAATTTTTTTTTTGCTGTATGTATGAGGGTGGTAGCACATTGACACATGTTTCCATGTAGCTTTCACTGCCACTATGAATGCAGAAGCATATGCAGCAGCAATGTCTTTTTTGCTGTATGTATGAGGATGGTAGCTACCCATACAGCACATTTACACATGTTTCCATGAAGCTTTCACTGTCACTTTGAATGCAGAAGCATATGCAGCAGCAATGTAGCATCCACACAGCAGTTTTCCATATATTTTCCTTGCCTGTGCTCCCCACCATTCTTCCCCCACACTCTATGGCAGGAGTCCCCAACATGGTGCCCATGGGGATATCCTGTTAAACAAAGCTTTTGTCTGAAATGTCAAAGATTTACTATTAGAATCATGTATAACCTCTCCCCCTGACATTTTGTGGTTGGCTCCACCTCTTGTGGCAGTCATTGGTCACACTCACCACCCTGTGTCAAAATGCCAAAGGTGCTCATTGGCTCGAAATGGATGGCGACCCATGTTCTGTTGCCACAATCTACAAGTTTCTATAAATTTGTAGCTCTCATTTTTTTAAAAAAAGGTCTCTGTTCTGAGCAGAAAGCAAGTTATCACTTAAATACATTCACTGCATCCAGATTGCTATGAGTGGCTGGTTAGAGGAAGTTTATCTGTTGTTAAGAGTTACAGCATTCCAACAATCAGTGTAATTAGTTTAGATATACATCAGGAAAAGGTGCTATAATTAATGTCAGAAGGACAGAAAATTCTGAATAATTTTGTAAATAATCTGTTCATGAGTTTGACCACGAAGTGTGATTATTGAAACTATGAGTGCAGATGCAGATTTGCTTATTTATGTATAAAGTTGATACCTTTAAAATAAAATAGCAGGAGCAATCAATTGAATGCTGTCCAGGTTGATTTTTATTGCTGAAAGCAAAAACAAACATTGCATGGATGATGGATCTCTGGTCTGTAAAGAGTAAATTGTGCACACATGCATCTGCAATCCAGATTGGGGGCAAACAGGGGGGAAAAGGATATTTAATACTTCAATCCTTGCTCTGTTTTGCAAACCAAAATCAGGTCCCCATACCTAGGACTGTTTAAGAGGAAAAAATACATACACTTTAAAAACCTTCTTTTTCATATGAAATGCTAATAAAACCACTGGGAGCCTGTGAAATTGAGAGGGTTAAATGCCGTCTCCACACATGACTCAAATCTAAACTGTAGCTGCTTTTGTGTACAATTTAGTTTTTACAGTCTGACAGAGATCCATGATAGTGATGGGCACGAACCTAAATTCATCATGAATTTGGCCCAGGTCATGATTTGCGACTCATGATTCGTGCTCGTCCCTATCATGACCCTCCACCTGGTTTTGGGGAGGTTCATGGGGTTTGTGGTGGGAAGCGGGGTGGGGGAGCGAGAGGGATCGCTGAAATGGCTTGCACTTAACAGGCTGAAATAGATGCAAACCATTTCAGTGATCCCTCTCGCTCCCCCACCCCCCACTTTCAAGGTGGGTTTTGGAAGATCTCCCTTCCATTCTGCTGACTTCGGGGAGCTGCCCCCAACAGAAAGGAGAGGGAAAGATCCACAACCCGAACCTCCATTTTCCTGGTTCGTGCGCATCCCTAATTCGTAATCTTCGTCCCATCTGTTTGGGCCCTGCATGACAGGAAAACAAGGCTGGTAATATGTAATTATTTGACAAGAAGTTCCATTTTACTTCTAAGCAAACACATATAGGATGACTCAATAAAGAGTGCATGAAAGGAGTGGGTTGGTGGTAAATGCCTTGTCCCCAATTCATACTATTATGCCTGAAACATTTCAGGTCGCTAAAGAGCCAAGGAACATTAGGCATTGAGGAGGGGAGACTTCTCTCACATTCAGTTCTGTTACAAAACTATGGCTTCTTTAGCTCCAAAACTTCAGTTTTTTAAAAAAACAGGTGGTTCTTATTTAAGCAAAAGTGTGTCGCATGTTTCAATCTAGAAATAACGTGGCAGCTTTGGAGTGTTCCAAAGCTTTTAAAAGGCTTTGCTGAACTTGATTCCAAAGCCTTGCTTACAAGAAGCCTTTTTTCTTTCCGCGGCCACCCTCAGGCACTGTACTAGGTCAGCATTGTCTGTTTACATTACAGTAAGTGTGACACATTTTCCCCACAGGTTACGGCATTATGACAGACGGTTACACAACGTACATTAATGCCTCAACATGTACAGTCAGCTTTCAACCAACCAACCCGCCAATTATATTTGACCTTCCAACCCCGCAAGGATCATGAAGCACTACAGCAGTGGGGGAAGGTCCATAAACTGCCATTTTCTAATTTAAAAAAAATCCATTCTCTTAACATGTTTCTTTACAAATGATGTGGGGCTTTTTTGTAAATTGTTGGTACAAAAAAACAGATAGCGGTTGTGCTTTTTTTTAATGCAGCATCCATTTGAAATTGATAAAGCATTGTGAATTTGTAAAATGAAGTTTTATGCTTTCTTAATGAACTTGCCATTGTAAATCATTAGTGTTCTCAAAAGGACAGCCAAGCTTTCTTTTAAGGAGTGAGACACCTTATTTTAATATTATTAAATAAGCTTAAAAAGGCAGTGTTTGAAAAAAAACACCCAATTTTGCACAACTATCATTTGATTTTTTTAAAAAAAATAATAAAATAATATTTCTAGTGTTAAATGCCACCCTCTTCCCTTCTATGTTTTTAGTTTCATATGTATGCTTCCCTGTCCAGAGTTTTGTACATGTTCTTATGCATACAACAGGCCATGCATCCGATGGGGTTAAATGCACTTATGCCCATTGAGATCAGTGGACTTAAATGCACCTAACTCTCTTGGGATAGTGGTCACAGAGCTGTTTTGCTGGAGGTGGGATCTCCATTCATCTCCATGGATGCTGATCTGCACACTTCAATATATGCATCGGTTATCTTCATGGAAATGAAGGAAGAGACCCTTATTGGTCAGAAAGGCTCTAGTACCCATCAGAGCTTCTGCACTCACAACAGATGGCTGGATCAGGATGATGGTCCATTTTCCTTCTGATACATGTGCTGCCTATTAATGGGTAATGAATCAGTGAGGGGGAAAAAGACTTCTAGGGTAGTTTGTCTTTGCATACTTTAATGGCCAATTAGATAGCAGCATCTTGTATGTGATGATCTAAATTGTCACTGTATTGGTGAGTTTCTTAAATTATTTTAGCTTTAAAAATACGGGGATGAAAGCTGCAATGAGCAGGTGTTCCATGCAGTAAAAACATGTAAATGCGGACTCCTTTTAAATATGGATTTTATATATATGTATTTTTTGTGCATTATAACTAAGCTAGGCATTTAATAGTGCCAGTGTAGCATCTGCAAAATTATGCTGTACAGCACATCTAAATTATGAAGGATGTGACACTTTTTTCCCAAGCGCTCAAGGCCTTCAAGAGCTTGAGTTAAAATCTTGGTGCAGTTCCAGGCATGTATAGAATCAAATGAATACAATCAAGCCTATCTAAAATAAGGCTTTGTTGTCCTTTATATTTAAAATATTCTTGAATTGTCTTTCCATTTCTTTTTTCCTTATTTTGCACTGTGTGTAAATGCAATCTTGCTAGCACAAAATATTGTTGCAAATAGTTATTTCTATTCTACCACTGTAAATGCTATTGAGCTTTATTCTGTTTTATGTTACCTTAATGGAATTTAGGAAAGCAGTTGTTTCTTTAAAGTTATTGCGATATTATATATCTAGCGGCCTTTATATGCAAATAAAATTGCAAGATTTTTAAATACTTCTCATTTGGAAACTCTTTCTACTTTCTATAGGTTACTTTCTAAAAGTTGCAAACTACTTGATTGAGTGTTTTTTGTGAAATTGTGCATTGCTTCTAAATTTAGTAGATCTTAATCCTGGATTGTTTGATCCAGCTAGGGGCTATATGAGCACAGGCACAAACCCTCAGCTGGATCTGAGTCTTCCCATTCCTCACTAAGCGGTTAATAAGCTGGGTTCCAGACTAGAGATGGGCAGGAACCAGGGAAATGGAGGTTCGTCCCAGTTCGTGGGGTCCCACAAACCTTCAAAAGCCTCCCCATTTACTGAACCAGTTTTGTGATCTGAGATCTTCTCTCCCTCCTTTCTGCTGGTGGCTGCTCCCCAAGGCCAGCAGAATGGAGGGGGGGGATCTTGCAAAAGCCATTTAAAGGGAACATTCCCTTTAAATTGCTTTTGCAAGCCACACCGTGCACAAGTGAAGTCCAAGCACCGAGTTCACCCGGAAGTGAGTGAACTCACCACTTGGACTTCACTTGTGCATGGCGCAACTTCCAAAAGCCATTTAAAGGGAATGTGTTCCCTTTAAATTACTTTTGCAAGCTACGCCATGTGCGTGTGAAGTCCAACATGGCGCAACTTCCCTTTAAATTACTTTTGTGTTCCCTTTAAATTACTTTCGCAAGCTACGCCATGTGCGTGTGAAGTCCAAGCTGTGAGTTCACCACCTGGACTTGACTTGCGCATGAACCACTGACGTGAACTTTCGTAAAAAAACTTGGAGGTTCATGGTGGGTATGATTGCATGACCCTCGGCTCACAGACCAAGCCATTTTTGTCACGAAATTAAGTTTGTGAAACAGTTTGTGTCCATCCCTATTCCAGACTGTTTTTCTAAAGCTGCACATCTGCATGCTGGTTGCACCCTGCATCCTGTGGATTGGAGCCACTGTGGATATTCACATTACTACCATTCTACACAGTCCAACTATCTGTGGTCATGCCCTCACTGTGGACACTTCATAAGCCTGGCATAATATTTATACAGTTTTCCAGTTATAAAAGTCTTCTGAAGCAGTGATTATTTTGTGGTGGGCCTTATTTTCAATTAATGTTTTTTGTTTGAATTGGTAACCTGTCTTGGGTCCACAATATTAGCAAAATCAAGAAGAAATGCATGGATGAATGTTCTACAGCCAGAAGTAACTCCTCTTGCTGGCTTAGGGCTCATAAACAATCGTCCCTTTCAATGATCTCAGTGGAACTGTAACCAGCTTCAGGGAGGAATCAGCAGAAGAATCTGAAAGTTCCACATGTACAAGCAGAAGTGCCTCCTGCTCAAGGTAGGGCTTTATTGGATCTGAGCTTTTGTTTCTTCTTTTTTTTGTGAGACGTAGATGCTATACTCAGATAATTGTATAAAAGGCATTAGAAACCATGTCATTAGACATTTTCCACCCTCTGATTTAAACAAGTTTGCATCCAATTTGCTTACCTCTAAATTATGGGAATGAGCAAAGCAGCGTTAAGTAGTTTTGCGGTGCAAGCCTAAGCAGATCCACACCACTCTGAGCCTATTAATACAATGGACTTAGTACTGTGTTTAGGATTGCACTGTTAATGCCATATATTTCCATAGGGGAGATTTCATTACATGAATATTGTATGTTCTTCACTTGATGAAATCAGCACAACTTAGGGACAAACTAGACAAGGCATTGGAGCTCTGTGATTGAATTCTCCATATCATTAAACTACTGTAGATAGTAGCTGCTGAGGAGAACAATTTGAATCAGGGCCCTGGGTAAGGATGGGTTTAAGCCTTCCTCTGCTTATTTCTAATACTAATTTACCCCAGGAAGTGCTCTTTGCCCTAATACAGGAACAATGCATAGTCTCCCAGCAGAACAAATAGTCCTTCTGAGAGGATGGTTTATATCGGGTAAATGGCGTGAGTAAAATTTTAACCTCAGTACCTGTGCCAGTCCAAATTCAGAGAGCATTTGTGAGGGGAGGGCTGCTACTTACAGACGTTTCGAGAGACAGGACATCTAATTATGGTGTTTCATATAGTTTGGTTGTTAAAAATTCATAATCTCACCCTAGTTCATACTTTCAAACACTATAGTACTGCAATGACAAGGAACAAGCATACTGTAAATCCTTCCCTTCTCCAGTGGTTCAGCTAGTGGGACAGTCCGTACAGATGGGATAAGCTCCTCCTCCAATCACAGGGTCGGCTCCAAGCTTTGATCCAGGTGGGGAGGGGCTTATCCCTTGGAGGCTCTCCCAGTTCTTGCCGGCCCTGCTTCAGAGCAGGACGTGCTTCAGAACTGCTCTTTAGCGCAGCAAAGAAGGAAGAAAGAAGATAGAAGGAACAAAAAAAAGCACGCCGCAGGGACCTGAGAGGGTGCTTTCGTTTCGGCAGCAAGGAGAAGGAGGGCACGTTCGGCGCTGGGAGGTCCCCGGCTGCCGCGGCGTTTTTTCGGCCACCCTCACTAGACTCCTGCTGGCCTTACCCACTCCTGGGGTGGAGGGCCTGCCCCTTGGAACCTTATTGGGGGTGCGGTCGAGTCAGCCTTTTTCCCGGTGACAGGAACGGCTTCGTTCCCCTGACCGGCTCCCGGAAACGGCAATCGGCTGCAGAGACGGCAAGTCTACCCCGCCCCCTTACGGTCCTCTCCAGTGGAGACAGACCCAGGGTGAAGAGGGGAGGCAGATTGGGCTCACAGCCATGGTTTCCAGATACCTGGGAGGAGGCGGGGGGGTGAACCCTTCATCCCATGCCTTGTTCAACCCTGCATTGCTAGAGAAAGGAATTTAAGGAAATGCTGCATGATACCTTTAAGGGATCTGGTCCTGCTGGACCTTCATCAGTAAGGGGTAGAACAACCAAAAGGTCCAAACCCAGCAGGGAAGACATGACCTCCAGAAGTTCTAGTTCCATCCCCACCCCCCGATCCAAACACAGGAGAGCTAATTCCTCTAAAAAATATCATAGTCTTCTCATGGAACACTTGGAAAGGGATTCAGAGTCCTCAGTCCCTACTTCAGAAAAGGAAGAAGGCAGACTGTCTGAGGAAACAGAGGAAGTAATGCCTTTGGTCCAATCCAGGCTTTCTCCTGAAGAGTTATATTCTAAACTCCTACCCAAGGTACTCAGGACCTTAGACCTCACGTCCAAACCTAAGGACGTTACTGAACAAGACTCAAGAGTACCAGTCAGGACTAGGCAAACTGATGTCAAAACTTTCTGTTACTCAGCCAGGGTTGCCGCTCCCTGCGTCCTTTTATAATATAAAGAAGGCTGAATGGGAACAACCTGCCAAACCCAAGGCTAATCACCATCTTTTTTCTAAGTTTTATTCCTTTATGCCAGAAGCTTCCAAATGTCTGAAGCTACCCACAGTGGATGATCCAATTACCAGTCTGTCCTCCAACTCAGTGCTACCCATGGATGCAGATGCGATACCAAAGGACCACTCTGACAGGCGCATTGAACAGGCACTTAGAAAAAATTTCAAGGCCTCTTTGGGTTCTCTTAGGGCATCCATGGCAGGGTCATTGTTCGCCAGAGCGACTTATGACTGTGCAGAAAATTTAGCTTCAGCAGACAGTAGTGTCCCAAAAGAATTCAAAGATGAAGTAAAGAAAATTG